GGTGCACAGTTTTTATTATAAAAATAAATTTTGATTGACTCAAAATCATGTATAAACACTGTGTTTATACATGATTTTGAGTTCCATAAGTATAGTGTTATAGGTGTAGTCTAACCACAAAATATCGTATGACAATTCGTTTATAATTAGCGATTAAGGCATTCTTGAAAATTGGCCCACTGGCTCTACTCATGTGCCAAAATTCCATTCAGTGCCATAATCGGCTATATTATAAACTATTTGCATAATATATTATTTTAATTTTTTTTCGTGCAAGGCAATGTGACCAGTCGCGTTTCGCTATCAAACTCTTTCCGCGTTGTGAGCACTAGGGCCTCTTTTCGCAAGCCCAGATTATGGATTCGGCCAGGCCCACAATGGAGCGGCCGGGTGGCGAGGAACGGAGCCCGACATATCCGGAAAATTTCTGGGGATTTATACACCCGTCCGGATTCGAACCCGAGTCCCCCAGAGAGATGGCTGCCACCATGACCGCTCAGCCGTCAGTCACTGGAATTTGGCTATCATTGTCACTATCGGTGTTTATTGTGAAACAATGGAAAATAGAAAATAAATGGAGAATATAAGGAAATGCTATTTTCGAGAGAATAAACTTATTTTAAATTATTTTTCTATTCTCTATCGCTCATTCAGATATTGGTACAGTATTTGATAATGTTTCAAATCATTTTACGCATCTACATCGTTTTTTAAAAGTCTACAAAGGTAGGACGAAGTGATTGGAGCTTTGTGTTTGTGAAAGGGTAATGTCGTAACGTGAATATTAATTCAAGAAGTTTGTTTTTATTATATTTATTGATATAAATATGTTTACATGGAAGAATAGTTTTAAAAAAGATTGTGTGATGTAACTCTAACCTTTAATAACACTGGAACTGTAAATGGTGAAAATGTAACCCCTAAATGTAAAAAGTACATTTAATTAACCTCCAAAATTTGTAATTTATTTTATTTTATTCATAGTGATATAGTTAGTGCTACAAATATTTTATTTATAATAAAAGGTTGTACAGTACAAAACATATTTTTGTAAGATATGTTATATAATTTATGGACAAACCCTAAAATTAAAAACTGTAAATGAACTTCTTTTTGCAGTGAATATGCTACGGTGGTTAAAACAGTTAAAATATTATAGATCAAATATAAAATAAGTAGTAAAAATTAAGTTTTACAAATAATATATTATCCGAAATTTCTGTTTGCCTACTGAAAGTAATGTATGAAAACTATTAAAATAGGCCTATAAAGTTATTGTTTAACAAAACTAATAGTAATTTTTAATTTATTTAACTTAAAATACCGGTATATGCTCTCCACCTCAAATTAGTATTGGCTTGCCCCTGTAAATCATACTTTTCCTTTAACGACAGAGTCGTACCTGTTATCCATTAACTGCTTTCAGGGGAAAAGTTAAATTGAAATAACGTATCTTCCGGTTTTCTTCGGAAGTTTAAATACAGTTAATATAATTGAGTAGTTATTAGCCTTGAGACAGATTTCTATTAAATAAGATAATTCATGATATTCGATTTTATTTAGAAAATCGTATTAATTTAAAAAGTTTATATTAAAACGTGGATTATTCGAATTGTTAATTGAATGGACCAATCAATCAAGGAATACCAACTCGATCTTTGATCTTTAACTTAATCTTCTTCGTTTGCTATGTCATCCCACGTAATCACTATTCTTGTTTATTACAGTCTGTTCCCAGCCGTCGTTTTGTCATTTGTCAGTATTTAGCTGTGTGATCTTTAAATCCATTCTATTTTCTACCAACACTAAAATATTCACATTGTCAAGTAAGCGAAAACGTGTTGTCTAATATTGTCAATCAAGAAGAAAGAAACTGATAAAAATGACAATAGGAAGAGAAAAACACCGAAAATAACTGTTTCCTTAATCTGATTATTCCAATTTTTGTTTATCAAGTTCTGTTATATACTATACCTATACTATAACATTGAAGTTATACTAGCAATCGTTTAGACTTGCATCACACCAGTGGCGTGCCGTGACATTTGATGATAGGGAAGCTGTGTTTCTGTAAGAAGACGACTTCCAGGGGCGATCAGTTAATTCTTTAAATGTATTTTTAATATATTATTTATCTGACGTAATTAATAAATAGTTATTAATAAAGTTCAATATAATTAACTCTATTATTAGATTCAATAGATTCCCTATGCCCTCTAAATGCCGATTCTCGCTTTGATAAAAGCATAGAACATCTATTAATTTAAATATATCTATTAGCCGTAATTATTTCGTTATAATTTTCAATATTTATTTTATATTGTTTACTAATGTTAAATTCTATTCCGCTTCTATTTCCAAATTGCTTCAAATACGAAAGAATCGACGATTTTTCGTGTCTTTTGCCAGCTAAATTGTCAAAGCTATTCTTATTCCACACACTAATTTCATTTGAAAATAGTAGGCGAGCCAACAAAACAATTTTTGCATTTTTATGCATTTACAGAGCCATTTTATCGTGAAAATGTCGAACAAA